AAAATGTATATGTATTTTTTTTACGTATTAGTAAACTCCAAAATCGATTAAATAAGCCTTTGAAACCCCTAAGTTTTCATATTTTTCAGGGGCTTCTCTCCCTTGGAACACTTTCGAGAGATCTGAAAGACGCCCGATCACGCCCACTAATAAGCATCCGTATCATCATCACCACCATTATTATTAGCAGTATAGTAGTAATTCAGGTTTATTATCTGTGATACTTTACCCAATCGGATTCAAATGTATCCCTTTCTCAATCGACAGGAATAGTATCGGCCCAAATCAGTCAAACAGACTCTGAAATTGTCGAAGAAGAAAAAGGTAACTATTTTCAAATTTTACAAATAATTAGATTTTTTTCATATTAAATTAATAATTTTATTTTAAACATTTTAAAAAGCTTTTGAGAGAGCATCTTAACTCAGTGGGCTAATCTGGTGATAGCCACTGTGTGTGCGCTGAACTGTGGAGATCTCTAGGTTCCCGGTTCAATTCCCATCGCTGCCTCTCCTTGTGTTTCAGCTAGAGGGCTGAAATACAAGTTAAATAGCGCACCGTCTTTCGGATGAGACGTTTAAGCCGTTGGTCCCGTGTGATTTTGTGGCCCATGTGCACGTTAAAGAACACAGTACACTCTTCGGAAAAGAGTAGGGGATTGTCTCCCGGTGTACTTTCCAATCACCACCATAAGGACCCTACTAGATATAAGTCTTCTTCTAGACTTTCGTGGGCTATCCTTGGTGTTTATACCGAATAAATCCTATCCAATTGATCCTGACAATTAATGTTCTGCCCGTAATTCTTATTGGAGACTTCCATAAAAGTATCATTGAGAAATGGAATTCTGAACACATCGTCAATACCACCAAGGATTGTTGATGCAGCGGATGTTGTTAAGAACAGCTATATATGAGAGTAATATGGATATTTATAGGCTGATGTGTGCTTTCAATTGATAGATAACGAAATATATGCCGTGTACATAGGCCTATCCGGCATGAATTATGGAGAATGTTGTAAAGACGCGCAAGAAGACCAAGATAAAGACAAACATTGTCATGTCTTGGACAAATCAGATTCAGTAGAACCGTCTGCAAATTATCCACAGTCTATTGGCAACGACCCCGAGACATCGAGAAGCATTGAAACAACGTCATCCAGACAAACCTATAAAGCTAATTCTCCCGATACTGTTATTAAAGAGGCAGCTTCAAACATTGCTGCTAATTCTTCTAAACAACCAGGTTAGTATATACGGTAATCACTATGAAACTTTTGTGTTTTGTTGGCCCTTATCATAATATACAAGAATTACAACACTATTCTACCCTCCTAAACTTGTATACAGTACAGGGCTACACTTACAAAAAGATAGTTTGTCAGCAGATTTTTCCAAATCAAAGTATATGCGTTTACAGAAGTGCAGTAATCATTTCGCTAGTCGATCTTAGACTAATCGAATATCAACGTGTGAAATGTGAGCATCGATAAGAAACGTAAGAATCTCACTCGTGTTTTGTGTTAAAACATGGTTCACACGAAAGCAATTTACATTTCATTCATTTCATTTATTTATTCGACCAATGCATATTTACAATAGGTGCAGTACAACAAATTTTGGTCAGGGGCAGCTTAAGCTCACTGAGAGTCAGCTGCTCTATTAAAAAATATAAACATAAAAAAAACATTAAATGCAATACGATAAATAGGTAAAAAATGCAATACAATAAATAGGTAAAAAATGCAATACAAAAAATAGGTAAAAAATGGTCTACTCGCAGCATGCCTACATGTATGTTTCCTGCGGCAAGAGACTTTGTCGTGGGTACATACTCGTCACACGATGCGTTCGTGATCAAATCTCAATTAACAGAGAGCAGCTTGCATTCGTGAATTTATAACATTTATTAAAGACTGTGAACGTTGGAGGACGTTACTTTTCTAATGTATCTTTTATGCTTTCTGCACAGGTGATGAAGCGCAGAACAAAGGTAAAAAACCTCCCATAAAAGAGAAACCAATTCGTTTGCGTGGAACCAGAAACGTCACAAGGGAAGTCAAAGAAACTAAGGAATAAAAACTCGGGCTTTATTTTCACTCACATACCGTAAAACCTCGAATTGAAGCCCTGGGCTGCTTTTTTTTTTTCTTGTGAACTTGGAAGGGCTTCTTTTCAAGATGGGCTTCTTTTCGAGACTACTTTTGCAAAGTAAAGATGGGGCTTATTTTCAAAGAATTCTGTAAATTTTGTGAATTTGTACAATTAAACAATAAATAAGGTCAATGTAACATCAATCTGTATTATGGAGTGTATGTAACTGGCATTAAATCACCTGAACTAATGTATAAACCAAGATTCTTTTTAATTTATTGTGTTTTCTGAAATTCTTGCATAGAGGCCTATGTACTGTACTATCACGAAAAGAAGCCAATGCATCTTTGCAAAAGTAGCCTCAAAAAGAAGCCCATCCAAAGTTCGCATAAAAAGGAAGCCCAGTGCTTTAATCTGAGGTTTTACGGTATGTGTAAGATGTGCAACTGAATAGACGGTAATTACACACTTCTTCCAGTAAGCCTATTATCATATTTATCATTTTTGTATTTAAAACATTTCTGAAAATTTGAAAACGATCAATATTTTATAACTTTTGCCTAGAAGTCCACTGTGGATACGTACTGTTGAAAAATTTATTGAGCATTTTAATTTTTGTGGTCGAGTTGAAGGTTTTGTATGTTTTTAATCATTTTATTGTCGTCTATTCATCTTGTTAAGTCTAGTGTATAAATTCAGGGCTGTTAAAACATGGTATATACACATGGAACTAGTGTTTCACGTGGAAGACTTCCCTCCTTTGTCTTTAAGTTATAAATAATGAATTAAGAAATTCAAATGTAATAAACGGGTGAATAAAAAAAACATACTTTTGTGCTAGGTCTATTGCTTCTGTTCGCGTGCATTCGTTCACATTTAAGCACCTGCGCTAGTCAAAATTAAGCAACACCTGCGTGTGTAATGGAATCTTTATACTTGTAATAGTAGAAATCCTCTGTTTGGGTCCGATATTGTTATTGCGTACTTAATTAAATTAAATGCTATTTATTGAAACTTAATTATAACAATTTTGATGTAACAATCGTTTGTAATTTAATCATTTACTGCTGTCTTATAATTATCAGGTAGGCCTCAGGTATAAATCGAGGGCCGGTATAATTATACACATGTAACACGTGATTCTGCTGCTATCACATACTTCCCTTCGTTGTCTACCATCTCTATTTTGAGGGGGGAAAAGCATAAAAATTATGAAATCCAAATGCAATAAATGGGTGAATGAAAAAAAGTTGTTAGTAACTGTCTTCTAATAACAGGCTAGGTCTTTCTGTACGCGAATTATTACTGAATTTTCGCGTTTATGTGTATCCGCCGTCACCTGCGCTCATCAGAATGCAACGCCTGCGTGCGTTATCTTTGAATGGACAACAGTTTCCATGGAAGTAGAACGCATTTTAATCCATAACGTCCAAGTTCGGATCTAAGAACGTTTCGATGCTGTTTATTCCGCTCTCATTAACATTCACGAATATTTAACTTTGATTTTATCATGAATTATATATTTGACAATGGGTAACAAAAGTGCTCGACGCCGACCACAACTTCCGTCGTTTGAGGAGGACCCGCTACACTTTACAACAAACTGTATATTGCAAAAACGTTTCAACATTTTACGTAAAAAGTTGAAGACCACAGAAATAAATTGGTCAGAATTGATTAATAAACGGCTTGAGCGTCATTCTGAAGGGCCACTAGCTGGTCTACCAAAGCCACTAGGTCTGGATTCAAAGGAACTTCCATTGCACTCACTTTTTTCCATGTTCAGTGTTGGAAAGTATGAGAAAAAGCATCTTAAATTTGTAAAACTGCTCATGCGCACAGGATATGATCCAAATATCAGAGATTCGCAGGGTCTAACAGCTTTGCACCATGCCATTCAAAGACTTCTTGCATTTGACACCCATCATGACACTAGTCGAAAGTTGGAAGATGCTTACTGGTATGCATTCAGGATTGTCGATGTCTTATGCAATCATGGAGCCGACGTCAACATACCGCACCCTTATACGAAACACAACGCATTGCACTTGGCAGCCAAAGCTGGACTTTACGAAGCTATTACCACTTTGATCGCACATGGTTGCAAAATAGAAGCACTTGATTTCAGGAAACGCACTCCACTTGTAATAGCTGTAGAAAACTCATCAGCGATGTGTGTAAAATTTCTACTTAAACGTGGTTTTGCTAATGCATCTGTGAAAACACCAGATGGTCAGACAATTTTACATTGTGCTATGATTGACTCTGGATGGTCAGTGTCCATTACACAATTGCTTTTACCTTTACCTGTCATTGATATCAATGCGCGAGACAACCGAGGTGACACAGCTTTGCACATTGCAGCACGGCGTCACTTAGATCAATTAATTGTGGAACTTCTTAGATACGGAGCAGACCCTGACATAAGGAACAAGAAAGGTAGAATACCTTTATTTGAATTCCTTGATAATGTGTCGTTGCTTTCAAATCCAAATGTCGCTAGAATCGGCATCGGTAAGAAAGTCAAGTGTTGTCGGTCGTTCGTGGCATTGGTCGAGAATACCACCAACCCGAGTTGGGCTGTTCATGCAGACCAGAAGAGCTACGAACCGAACCTAATGGCCGATGAACATGTAAGAGCTTTAGTAATAGATGAACTCAACCTACACCAGCCGCCAACTCTAAAACATCTTTGTCGTTTGCAGATAAGAAAACGGATAGGAATCAACAAAATGGTGGACAACAAGAAACTTATACGCAGTATTGGAATACCTCGCCAACTCGAAAAATACATATGCTCGGACAAATACAAGAGTGTTATGTATTCGATTAACGCTTGGAAATAATGTAATTTGATTTATATTTGTTAAATTTTATATTTAATTCAATATCATGTGTATGTACAGGAAATTTGAGCCCCGGCAGGCGTTCTTTTATTATAAATAATAACTGCAATATGTTTGAAACTGGAATAAAATAAACTTTCATACATCTTGTGTACTTTTTGCATTAATTTTTGTTAAAAGATGAAAAATAACAATAACATTGAAATAATTTCTTTAATAATAATAATAATCATAAGAGTAATAATACTCATCGAAGTCTGGAATGCATAAAATACAAATGAATGGGATGAATGAATGTATAAAATGTATTATCATCTTCAAAATCATCAGCAAATTAGCATTATTATCAACATCATCATTATTACAATACTTACAGTGTACACAGTATAAAAGATAGATAGATAAAAATTATAATCAATGAATATATCCAAATAAAATGGAAGGAAGAATACAATCAAAATCCAACTATATTGACTGTATATTTCTTGAAGGTTTGCATGTCGAGTACCAATACAAAATCATAAAACTTTTGGTACATCATGTATAAAAATCATAGAGCTATGATAAAAATATGGTTTTGAGGTAAAACACTGGTTGGCTGTCTAAACGTTTTAGTGAGATTGCTCGGACCGTCATCAGGAGAATGATAAAAGAAGACTTCTGTTTGGCTTAAATAGAGATGTATTGACATTTACCTTTTATTTATCCTGAGTTTACTTAATTGCAGTCGGCACCTGTTATATCCAAATTATAGCCAGCAAAAAAACCCATAAAATTCTTAACTTCGGAAACATACTACTACTACTACTACTGTATGGGGTGCCATACGCAGCAAAAGTTAAAATCAAAATGTAATTGCAAAATTCAATGTCTAATTTATCAAAACGTAGGCGTAAATTTCT